CATGTATGCCCTCTCCTTACCTATCTTTGCATTAAAATCTCCTATTAAGACCTTTACGTCATTTTTAAGACAATGTTGTATGATATTTTCCAGTTGCTCATAAAATTGTTCTTTTTCTTCATCCGGTTTCTCCTCAATTGGTGTATGGGCATTTATTATTGAATATTTAAAGAATTTACCTCTGATTCTTAGTGTGCATAATTTTCCGTTGAGAGGTTTGCTAATACTGAATTATAAGGTGCTTTACTCTTTTATTGACTATGAATCTCGTTCCTAATTTGTGTTCCGTTGGATGGCATAAGCAAAATATTATTGAAAAATGAACAACAAAATCGCTGTTTTTGAATATTTTTAATAGCTTTTTCTTTATTAAAATTTGCTGAGGATCTTATCTTATTTGAATTGTGTGCAAAATATGAGTCAGATCTGTTGAATAGTTTTTGCTAAATTTAATTTGTTTATAAGATTTTTTGAAAAATGAGCAAATTTCTAAGTCCGGTACGGTAATTTGACTGAATGTATCTTAATAATCCAAGGTTTATTTTCTTTGTTAACACCCTATGAAAATTATTAATAACCTATGGGAAAAAAGTTTAAAAAACACGCTTTAGGAGCCAAGATAGCCCTTTAAATCACTGTTACGTAGTAGTACTTTTCGTTCTAACTGGGTTCCCACCACGATCTTTCTTCTTTAATTTTTGTTTAAAATCAACTTAAATCTGCCAGTCCAATACACAATCTCAGTGTTCACTGTCCAATATTTTGGTCCACACTGTATTTATGAAATGAAAAGTTGTTTGATCAAAAACCTTGACCCTAATTTAAAAAGTGTAATTCTTAACTTGTCCTCAATAGTACCTATTTATCTTTTTATGTAAAGTTAAAAAGAAAGTGAATCCATATTTTAACTATTGAAATAATTTATAGGAGAAAAACTAATTTGTTTTTTTTTTTTTTGTCAAAAAGAGATTTTAGTTTTTTTTTATTTAATTAATTGCTTTAAATAACTTGATCCATTCAGCCACGATAATGTAATTGACTACTTGAATTTGCTAATGATGTATTGACCTATTGCATTTGTTAACAAGATAGTACTTCGCCTAGAGGTAAATTAAAAATATAATGTAAACATCAGTATAACAACATATACCAACAATATAACAGTATAACAACAAGAATCAGTAGGTTTACAAGAAACCATACTTCATTCATTACATTTAAGGCCCCAACTAACTTAAAGTGAATATTTAGAACCACCAACAAGGGATTACATAGACATTTATAGAGCGTTTGATAAAACCACATTCTCAACCATCACCCAATAGCTAAACGTGAGGAATGTTCCCATGGCCGTAAGCGAATGGATATTCAGTATGCTCTCGAATAGAGCAATAAGCATAAATGTAGAAGACGTTTCTGTCAGAGGCATGGTTACGAGGAAGTGTCCACGGGGAGGGATGCTATCACCACTCCTCTGGAACATAGTTCTAGATACCCTGGTTGACCAACTCAGCAGCAATGGTTTCTACACAATAGCCTATGCAGACGATATTGCTGTCCTGCAAAGCGGTAAGTTTGAGAACACACTATGTGAGAGGTTACAAGTTGCTCTCCGACTAGTAGAAACACCGTGCAAAGAACACTCACTATCTATAAATGCTAAGAAAACAGAGATGATCCTTTGTACCAGGAAAAGAAGAATCACGGGCTTAATACCACCAAGGATTCTAAACTACAATCTAAATTTTTCTGACGAGGTGAAGTACTTGGTATTACCCTTGACAGGAAATTAACATGGAACTCACTTAGATGGTAGAGCTAAAAGAGCATATATTGCCTATGAGCAGTGTCGACGAATAGTTGGACGCACCTGGGGCCTTTCGCCCAGGGTGATCGCCTGGGTCTACACTGCTATCATTAGGCCAATGCTAACTTACGGAGCTATTGCTTGGGTAAAGAGAGAACTTAAAACTTTAAAACATGTAGCCACAGAAACGGAGCATCCCCTCCCCTTCACCAACGAAGACATATCAGACGGTCTTAAAGACGTTAAGCCAGCAAAAGCACTAGGATTTGATAATATTCACCCTGAATTCCTAATAAATTGTGGTAAGTATACAAAAGTTTGTCTTGCTCGATTTTCACAGACCTCATACAAACTGATAATATTCCATAAGAGCTAAAGCGCTCTAAGATAATAGCCATATTAAAGCCAGGCAAACCCGCCGATAACCTAAAAAACTACAGACAAATTGCGCTTCTCACTGCCATCTACAAACTATTAGAGAGGCTTATATATAATAAAAGCAGTACAGAACTGTTTCAGGTGATCCCAGTCGAACAAGCGGGTTTTCGACCAGAACAAAGCTGTGCGGACCAGGTAATGTCACTCACCACCTACATCGAAGCTGGTTTCCAAAGAAGACTTAAAACTTCAGCGGCATATATTGACCTCTCGGCAGCTTACGATACAGTATGGAGAGAGGGCCTTATATACAAAATTCTCCGTGCAATCCCTGTAAACCAATAGCACGCCTAATAGATAGCATGCTTAACGACCGAATGTTGGTCAGTTAGTTGACCATACTAAGTAATGATGGATACATATATCAGCCCACCAAAGAAACTTAAGAATGGCCTACCACAGGGGTATACTCTCTCCACATTTAGCTTATACTTAGCAGATATGCCGGAAACACAATCAAAAAAGTTCGGATACGCGGATGACTGGACCCTCACTACGATTCAGAACACTAGAAACGTCTGAAGAAGTTCTGACGGCATTATATATATTGGGCAAATATTTTCGCAAGTGGCGACTTCAACCAAATGCATTAAAAACAGAAGTTAGCAGATTAATTACTATTTAACTGGGAATAAGCCACAATTAAAGATAAAAATACGTTTATTGACGTTTCAATTTCCACTTCGGAAATCGTTCTTCTTTCCGATTTCCGAAGTGGAAATTGAAACGTCAATAAACGTATTTTTATCTTTAATTGTGGCTTATTCCCAGTTAAATGGTAATTAATTTACAATGCCACAAGAAAATAGCTTCAGAACAATATTAAGAAGTTAGCAGCTTTCACCCGAACAATAAGGAAAGGAACTCAACATACGGTTTGAAAATACCACACTTACCAACAACAAAACACCGAAGTACCTGGGCTTAACACTAGACAGAACGCTACCATTTAAAGAGCATTTAACAAAAACTGCCCAAAAGTTGATTACAAGAAATAACATTATACAGAAGCTCTGCGGTACGACCTGGGGATCATTGGCTTCCACTCTCCGCTCTACTGCCTTAGCAATTGTTTTCTCGACCGCTGAATATTGTGTTCCAGTTTGGCTACACACGTAAAAAAGGTCGACACTCAGCTGCACAGCACTATGAGGATGATAGTTGGTACAATTAAATCAACCCCCATCCAATGGCTTCCAGTATTAAGTCACATCCCACCTCCACATTTACGACGAGTTGACGCACTTACGCGTGAATACAAAAAGATCATGAATAATATAAACCTGCTGATCCACCAAGATACCGAGGATGCACAAAATATCCGTCTCCGTCCTAGAAAACCACCAATGATAACGGCAAGAATGATACATGAGGAGTTCAACATCACGAATGCATGGTCCCAAGAATGGAACGCATGGCAAAATAACATGCCCTGCATTACTCACAAGTTACCAGGTTTTGATCTTCCACGCAAAAAATGGTCCACTCTAAATGGGATCCGAACAAGACAATTCAGATGTGCGTACATGCTACATGAATGGGAAAGAACCCGTCTTCTCAATGTAACTATGGGGAGAACCAAACGATCGACCACATTATTGAAGAGTGTCCCTCAAGATCCTACAATGGTAGCCCTGAAGACTTCCTGTTTGCAACTTCAGTCAATTAATTATATTAATACAATTAATGTTTGTTTGTCACTATTTAAGGTTTATCATATACATATATTACTAGTGTTTGTAATTTTGTTCTAAATGTGTTGTAATTGCCATACGATAAATAAATAAATAAAGTGCCATTAATTTGACTATTGCCGAAGGCCGGGATGGTCAACAAAAAAAAAGATGAATCTGGTGACATTATTGGATGTGAATATGTCTTTTGAGTTTACTCCTAGTTTAAAAACAGAGTATATTTCCTCAAAAAAATTTTTTTGAGAAAAAAAAAATTTTTAAAAGTTTCATGTACTTTAATGCATTAATGACGTAACATAAAAAAATAGAATCTTTTTCGCTAATAAACTTGTTACAGAAGTAAAATAACTAAGATCGAACATGTCACGTATTGACTACATTTTTTCCCTGTTATTCAAAGGTTAAAACAAAGCCAACTGATCGTCTAACAATTTCAACTGAAAGGAACTAAATAAAGTAATTTTTATTTACATAATAATTTACAAGCATTGATCTCAGTGGAGACAAGTTCAAATTACTTGAATAATTAACTTAGTTGGATAAAAATAATAAATTAGACTATTATTGGAGAGATCATTAAACTTCCTTTAAAATTATTTGCCGCTTGGCCCTTCTTTCTATTGTGCCCCCCTGAAAACAAAGTTTACTCACGGTAGAAATATAACAACAAAACAAGTAACATTAGGTAGGTATATAGATATTGAAATTAATTTCTTTAATGTATTTTATAAATGTAATAAGAATTTATGTAATTAAGTATTGGTAATACAATACGCTAATTAACTAAAAATATCTGAATTACCACCAATTTTTTTTTAATTTCCTTAAAAAAGTTTATCAAATTAAGATTTTGGAAATAATGTAGTGGATACATACTATTTTAAGTTTTTTTTTTTTTAAACGGTATCATATTTTTCCAGAGATACAACTCAAATTTAAATAATATATTTTACATTGGACAAAAGAATTCGCCAAATTCGGATACAAAAACTTTAACCTTTAAAAATACTTTCACTCCAACCGTTATACTTCTTCGAATGTTAATATATCCAATTAATTACCTGAGATCTTCTCGTTTGCTTTCTTCAAACCGTCCAACAGTGCCCCCCTCCGGTTTGTGGGTCATCTTCAGATAAGAACTCTTGCAGCGCCACTTCACTATTCATTAACTTTGAATTTGGCACCAGTTCCAGTCTCACTCACGACTACCATATGGTAAGTGGTGTGTGGTAGCTGATCGGCCGAACACTTCACTGAATTCGCGAATGGAATTATTGGTGTTTGCGTTGAAAGTTGCGATTTCAGCCTCGCACCTGCGACAGGTATATTAGTCCTAGAGCTGGCGATAATAATTAATTATCGTGGCAGTTGTAAACGCAACTATTAGATACATAGATTTCTAACCAACAGGCAAATACCAATTATGTGCTATACGAATATAACTGCGCAATATATAAAAATAGTTATCTGGCTAAAGCACAATTAAAATACATAACAATCTTAACAATATAGATAAAATAAATACAAATTACAATACAATAAAAAAAGTGTTATTAATATAATAAGAGTTCATATTATTAGTTATTTTTAATACTGCTCTTAAAATATGATTGATAATACAATTAAAAATAGAACATTCTGCCGTATGTCTAGTTAAAGTACATAATTAAGAGCGGCTACTAAATTTGTTATAGGTTATTTGGTTAGGTATTAAATTGTACAAAAATCAAATGCCATGGACAATGGAGTAAAGATGAAATCCTTACAGAGAGGTGTTAAAGAAAACATAAACTGAAGTGTGTGGAATCAAAAAATGTAATAAACAGTTAAAAAGGACAAGATGGTGGAATAAAGAAGTGAGGGCAGAAATAAAAAAGAAGAAAATGACATGGAAAAAATACATCAAAACGAGATTGTAAGAGGATACAGAAAAAATATTATAAGCAAATCTGATCAATGTGGAAAAGAACTACAAGAACAAATAGTTAGGGTTTGGACAGAATATTATGAGAAACGATTTGATACCGAAGTAATAAAGAAAGACCATGTAATAAATGAAGGCGAAGAAAACATAGAGCTAGAGCAAATAAGTAGATAAGATGTAATAGTAGAATTGTCAAACATAAAAATAGGCAAGGCAGGTGGGGATGATAAAATTGAACCGTAAATTGTAAAATACATGGGAGAAGAAGGAAGAAACTGGCTATGGAAAATATATAAAGACTCGTGGGAAAAACAAACAATCCCTAACACAGGGCTTCCCAAACTGTGCGTCGCGACGCCCTGGGGCGTCGCTGCGTTGTCTCAAGAGCGTCGCGTGTTAGCGCGGACTTTTAATACAGAAAATATATTTATTTTATTTTAAATGAGTAAAAAATGTATGTAAAAAAAATAAATCAATCAAATAAAAAATACATCAAGTCGATAGACCCTTGAATTATCCTAAATTATTCAAAAAATTGTTCAATGCGAAAATTATACGATGACCCACAAAATTATCCGAAAATCGGATAATTATCCGGACTTTGGCAACACTGGTCGAGTGAGCGCTGGGCGCATTCTGTTTCGCCGGTCGGCTCATCTCCCTATGTTCCCTTCTGTCGTGCTTGTTATGTCATTTAGTCAGCTTATGTTATGTCAGCAGTAGCTGTTGTTTTGTTTTATTACGCACGCGGAGTTCTTTGCTATCAACAATGGATACTTATATGCAAAAGAATAATAAAAGAAGAAATATAGGAAATATGATGACCAATATTTGGATGTTGGATTTACCTGTGTTAATAAAGGAAATGTAGAACTTCCACAATGTGTTGTTTGTCACAAAGTGTTGGCGGCTGAAAGTATGCTTTCTAATAAACTAAAACGATATTTGGAATCAACTCACAGTCATTTACAAGGTAAGCCAAGAAACTGTTTTGTAAGAAAATTGCGAGAGCTAATACATCCGACCACGGCTTTGGTTTCAAGAGCATCAGTTCCTACCAAAGCATTGCTCGCCTCTTACGTGGTAGCTTACCATGTTGCCAAATGTAAAAAACCACATACGATCGCTTAGGAACTGATATTACCTGCAGCGGTTGATATGGTAACAGTGATAATTGAAAAATCGGCAGCTAAAGAAATAAAAAATGTAGCTCTTTCAAACAAGACGGTTAGTCGCCATATTTACGACATGGGAAGATATTAATGAGCAGATTGTGGGGAAACTTTCATGTTTATTTGCCATTCAACTGGATGAGGCTACTGATAGAAATGATTATGTTCAATTGATATGTTTTGTACGGTATCTACAAGAAACAAATATACGTGAGGATTTGTTATTTTGCAGAAAAATATGTGAAAGTTGTAAAGCTACTGACTTATTTGAGATTTTAAACTCATATATAACTGATAATATTATTAATTGAGATAACTGTGTAGGCGTTTGTACGGATGGTGTCAGAGCGATGTCTGGACAGTATGGAGGACTACAAGCTCTCATCAAAACCAAGGCTCCAAGAGTAAAATGGACACATTGTGTCATACATAGAGAGGTCTTAGCAGCAAAGAACGTTACACCTGAATTAAGTATTGTGATGGATAGCATTATTTAAGTGGTGAACTACATTAAAATATGACCCGTGAATTCAATTCAATTTATTATTGCAACTCTCGTTGGCTGTCCAAAGGCAACGTACACGCACGTGTATACGAATTTAGAAATAAATTTTACATGTATCTACATACCGAATCACATGATGATGCACAAAACTTTATGAATTCAGAGTTTATAATAAAACTATATATCATACCTCTGTGACATATTTAACAAATTAAATAATCTTAATAAGTCTTTGCAGGGAAACAATACTCATATCCTACAAGTGGCAGATAAAATTACTGGCTTTCAGAAGAAGTTGCTCTTACGGAACAGAAAATTAGAAGATCAAGAAACTAAAGTTTTTCTGCTTTACAAGGTATTATACGAGAAAAATCGATAGAAAGCTGTGCTCAAAAAAGCAAGCACATCCCTCACATTAACCAGCCAGTTACATAAATAAATATCCCTTTTCATTTTTTATTTCGTTATGTTCAAATAATGTTTTTGTTATAACTATAAAATGTTACTAGACTAGTACTAAAATTGGTAAGTATTATTGGCATTGGGTTAAGGGGGCGTCGCAAAAAAATAGCAATGTCCCAAGGGCGTCACAGTAAGAATAAGTTTGGGAAGCCCTGCCCTAACAGGTTGACTGCCACGAGTACCGCATGTGGTACTCAGTTAACTTGCCATTTATGCTACAGCTCATCTAGAGCATGTTGACCCACGAGGCCATGACGATTTTTATTTATTTTTTTAATTTAGGCTTTTGTAAAAACCTTTTGGGGGTTAATTAATATCTTTTTAGTTATAGTGCGCGCAAGCACTCTTGACCATGGAGCTGCGCGAAGGCGGAGTCAAATTCACGTAAAGGCAGAAAGGTTCTATTGTAAATGGAATTATACAGTGCATAGTACAATGCGTTTCACACGGAAGTGGTGACTAAACCAAATTTCATCTACTGCGCCGTGGTCAAGAGTGCTTGCGCGCAGTCTAATAAGTATTTCACACCATTTTTAACCTGAGTACCTGAAACCATATGACCATGAAGAATATGACACGAAATAGAAAAGAATGGAAGAGATGGGTGAATGGAAATTAAGATATCTAGCCTAAATCCGACACCCTGATAGGGTAAAAAGAAGGGAGAAAGAAAGAAATAAACAAATATCAAATGCTGATATAAAGTCTTTTTGTTGTTAGAACAAAAGTGAAATTCATTTAATAGACTGGAATATTCAAACATCTCTTAGGAAAACGGACAGTATTCTTAAAAGGCAAATATTTTAAACATTCTTATTGTACAGACTCTACAATGCTTAAATAACAACTAGTATGATAAGGATTATATATAATTGCACTGTATTCTAGTTTAGATCCAGAGATTGACACAGAATTATGACTGTTAATAATTTGAATATATCTTAAAATAATTTCTACTGATCTATTAGCAGCAGAGACATCACCATGCATTATTCTGGCTTTACAATCCTGTATGGCCCTTCCTAGTCTCCTCAAGAATTTTCTTCAGTCGTCCCTATCCATTGCCTTCCTCCGCCAAGCACGTATTCCCATATTTCTCATGTTTTCATCGATGTTATCAAGGAAGCTTGGTTTTTGTATTCCTCTTCTTCTCTGACCAATGGGTCTATCAAGGAGTCACTATCAAGGAGATGGGTCACTTTGTTCCATCCGAATTACATGTCCTACTCACCTCAGACATTTTGTTATGTAATATGATTTAGATGTAATAAATGTAGGAAACAGTGTAGAAACAAAGTAATAAAATGTAACAGTGGCCATGACTCACGTGTCTATAACTGTCAAAAAATGTTTAGACCATATCTCTTTTGAAATAAAAGGTAAAGAGGCTACCAGCGAAACTATTGTAATCCTTGTAAAACAGACTGGAAAGATTTTCAAGAGGACATGAAATATTGTGTAAGCAGGAGAATTAAAAGGATGATAACGACCCAGACAAAGCTGCCGAACAATTTTAATACTTTAATACAAGTAAATTTGCTGACGTTCTCTACCAATTTATAACAGGAAGCTACCTGTTTTCACTAAGATCCCAAGTTACAAGTTTCCCTAAAAACTAGATAATAATTGGTAAAAATTATTTCCAAATTGCTAAATTCAGAATTTATTATTTAAGAATTTAGTAGCCGACTCTCATACTACTTTTTATAGTTCTGAAGGTAACTGGGTCAATTACCATAAGCATTTCTTGTGATTGCTTTGTGTCTTTCATTAACAACTAAAGGGGATTGTCAGGGAAAGAAAAAGTATACTTCCGCCCAAAATAATGCAACTATGTACGAAACCAATATAAAAAGCAACCCATATTTTTGTTGTCAAAGAATATTATTTGTAGATAAATATTTATTGCATTCATTTGAATCATCTTTAGCGTATTATTTATATTTATATATTGACGAATATAGAAACTATTTTGACATAAACTAATTTTTAACAAAATTCAGTGTTTGGCTAATATATTATAATCTTTTCACAATCGAGACGAATAGAGAGCCTATGACTCTTCTTGACGTAAAAACTCTCATTTACTAAACTTTTGGAATTCCATATTATCAGTTCTGACCCTATTCCTTGTATGTCTGTATACACTTATAATGGCTTCCCTGAGTTTGGTATTTACATTTTTCTTTTTAAGCATATGTACCTTTCTTGGAGTACTATCAAATCCTTTTTTTAAGTCAATGATATAACTCAGCGCTTGAGTTCCGTGCGTTTTGTATTAACTTTTTGATAGTAAAAATTTTATTAGCAATTCAATGACCTTGTCGCTCATGTTTTGTAGCATTTCCGCTAAGTTTATAAAAATTCAACATTCCTTCCTCTCTTATCGGAATATTAAAATAATAGTTGAATCTAAAGTTTAAAGGGAATTTCAAGTTTCTGACCCAAACGTTCACTTTATAATATGAAAAACCAACCTGTGATATTTTAAAATCCTTAACCCAAATTCATTGTCATAGCCTACATAGTTTCGACAAATCTATTTTGAATCATATGAAATAACAAGATAAATAATAGATTAATGGTTAAAATAGGTATCAACATTAAGATTCTTCTGCTATAAAAAAATTTGAAAGTACCTACTGACTTATTTTTTAATTTAATTTATAATACCAGGGTGAGTCAATACTATACTTACTTATGTTTATGCGTTTTTATTTATATCTCGAGTTCAACAAAAGCTATTAACGTGCGGTTTGCGCCATTTAGTTGCGAATTTAATCTAGTTCCATTATAATTTACAATAAACAGGTGTTTTCATTAAACATTTTGAAGAAAAGCAAATTTTAATTTTTCTATTTGAAAGTACCCTCTAGCTACGAGAATTAAAACTAAATGCAATTATTTTATAGTAGATAGTAGTAAATTAATTCATCTACACTCTTTCTAATGACACTAATTTCGTTAAAATTGGTTGATCCAAACCAAAGTTATAGGTATTTATCCACAAATAATTTCCCACTCTCCCCCACCCTTTATTTGAAAAAAAAGTACTTGAACAACTTTGTGCAAAGTTTAGGCCCCTTTTTAGTGTAGGTACTTATTTAACACTTGGTATAATTGGGCATATTTTACAAAAAATTAAATTTTTGTTCACAGGTTGCGCCCCTAGCGGTTAACCCAGAAACTTAAAAGTTATTTCCAGCGATTTCTCTTGGCCACTTTTACTAAGCAATTTTTTCTCCTAAAGTTATAACATAAATAGTTTTTTATATATAGCCGAGAGATCGGCTTATTGGGCCACCCAGTACATGTAAAACAATAAAACTTATTAATAGTGGTATTATTAGTAACCTGCGTAAACATCCTATTAGATATAAATTAACCCATGACTCCATTACCGAAAAATAAGTATTACATATCCTTTTCTTTAGACCAACATATTTCATATAGTCTGCAGTTCAATAAAAATGCATACAGAAAAATATTTTCAAATTTAATAATTAAAATAAAGAATCAGAGGAATTTAATTTTTTTAAACTGCCCTCTGTGTTAAAATCATCGAGTTAGAATCTAGATCCCAACTCGATGGTGAAAATGCTTCAGTTCTGTTCATACTTAACTTCGGAATTATGCAATAGTGGGCGCAGAAGTCTAAAACAGCCACAATCGGAAATAATTTACTTTTGGAAAATTTTAAAATTAGATCAAGAATATACATAGATGAGTATAAATTTTTTTTAATAATTTGGTTTTTATTGTTTTAAAAACAAAAGTTTAAAAGCTATACAAATGATCGTTGTTTCATTATTATAGTATCATTCTGTGTTTCTGTACATTGTTAATTGTTAGAGTTTCAGTGGGTCTAATAACCGTTTATTCTTCTAAATTAAGGATTTTTACTCTCCAAGAGGAAAATTTAATCAATGAATTAATGTATCGCCTCTACAAATTCAAAGTTTACGCTACCATAAACTATAATTTATTTTATCTACTGTTGTCTGAAGAAATTAATATTATTGATTTAATGTCTAAACTACCTAAACTTTTAAATCAAAGCTGAATATGACCTGGAAGAATTTAAAAGTGCAAGGGTGCAACTCTTGTGTGTAGAATAAGTTGCCTTGATCTGGATGATGTCCTCTTAAACATCCGTGGTTTTCAATTTTAGTTATAACCTAACCTATAAGTTGTACCGGTCTAAAACGTTGATATTTTTTGTTTAGTTTTTGTTAAAATACTGTAGTTCTAATATAATAACAGTTTTTCTTCATTCTTACTAGAATTTAAAAAAGGTAATGGAGTAATTTATTTCAATCTGTTAATGATATAACTAATGTCTTATATTTTAGAGAATGGCTGAAGAAGTATTAAATGGAGATGATAAAAAGAAACGGATGTCTGTTGGCCTTTATACTAGCTGTCCTCCAAGTATAAAACAAGGTGTCGACTCTGCTTTTGAACAAGGATACCACTTTGTAGTTACACAACTTACACATCCAAGTTATAGCAGAAACTTTAATAACAATGGTCCTTGTGTTATAGGAAGAACAGATAGAGTAATGAGAAGTTCTGATTGGGGCAGATTAGTGGTTGGGCAATTAACCCCTACTATTGACTTGGATAGTGAGATAGAACACATTCGAGAACATAGTAAAATGATATTTGAAGAAGAATTGGGGTTTGCATCTCATCTAGGAGTTCCAGCAATCTGGTTGACACTTTCCAAACCAGATAATGTACAATTAGCTCGTGTTTTACATGCAAAATTAGTTTCAGGATTTAACTATAGTGTATGGGTTAACATTCCAATGACTCACCCTTCCAGATACAATCCTGTTGCAGAAACAGAACATGATACTTGGGATTGGTGGAATAAATTTCGTACTTACTGTAATTATGATAAAAGACTAGGTTTAGTTCTTGATTTAAGTGATATTAAGCACTTACTGCCAGAAAATGAGCTTAAAAGATGGATTGGGGAGCCTGTCAGAGCAATTGTGATACCTACTTCACACTTTTTAACAAATCAACATGGAAAACCTGTCCTTTCCAAAGTTCATCAAGAAATTATTAAAAAATTCATGAGTCTGGATGTTCAGTATGTAATTAAAAATGATAGTGATAGTGACTTATCTCTTTATAATAGATATATAAGCTTTTTGGGTAAAAAGCTTTATGTATATGATACAGTAACTGATTTTGTTGATGGATTTGAAGATTTTCTCCAGAACCCCCTGCAGCCGCTTACTGAACACTTAGAAACAACTATTTATGAAATATTTGAAAAAGATAATATTAAATATACATCTTATGAAAACGCTGTCTATAAAGCTATTGAAATTTTTCCAAAAAATGAGACACCAGTTGTAATGGTAGTAGGAGCAGGAAGAGGTCCTTTGGTACAGGCTGTTATTAACGTATCCCTTGCATTAGATAGAAAAATTAAGGTTTATGCAGTTGAAAAAAATCCTTTTGCAGTCAATACATTAGTACATCGAAATAAGGATGAATGGGATGATGCTGTTACAATTGTCAATGGTGATATGAGGACATATAAACCCCCAGAACTAGCTGATATATTAGTATCTGAATTGTTGGGTTCTTTTGGAGACAACGAATTATCCCCTGAATGTCTAGATGGAGCTCAACGATTCCTAAAGAAGTCAGGTATATCTATACCTCAGTCTTATACTTCCTACATAGCACCACTACAGAGTACTAAAATTTATAATGAGATAAGAACAAATCGCCAAGTGGATAAAACCCTACAGTTCTGTTATGAAACACCTTATGTCACACATTTGGCTAACTTTTATGAAATAGCTTCACCTCAAGCACTTTTCACTTTTAAGCACCCAAATTGGAGTGAACATATAAATAATCAGAGATACAAGAAACTGAAATTTCAAACAGAACTGTCATGTCTTTTGACTGGATTTGTAGGATATTTTGATACAGTTCTTTACAAAGATGTCACACTCAGTATACATCCAGAGACTCATACACCAAATATGGTCAGTTGGTTTCCAATTGTATTTCCTTTAGAGAATCCTGTTTATGTGGAAGAAGGACAGAATATTGAAGTGGCTTTTTGGAGGTCAGAATCAAGTGATAAAGTGTGGTATGAGTGGTGCTTGATAAATCCAGTAAACAGTGGAATTATCAATCCAAATGGGAGATCTTTTTTTATGCGGAAGCATTGATACTGCAACTTTTTATAAAATAAAATTGGTAAACATTAAAATTTTGTGTATTTTTTTAATCTATTTTGAGCGTTAGACACAGAAGCTAAATGTACTAGCTAAATACATCATCTCATCTTTGTATCATCAGCAACTATTGTGCTCTTAACATTCATTGTAATTAGTTTCCTGGTATTGTTTTCTTCTGTGATTGTTCCTTTATGAGGTATTAAAGTGATCTACATGTTCTAGCTGCATCCGATTCAATCATAAATCATGTTTCTTTTTTTGTGCTAGCTATAACCATTATTTTTGTTTTATCCATGTTTATTCTCATGTTATTTTTGGTAGTTCCTAATTTAATATGTCTAGATTTTACTGTAGATTGTAGGTGTTATCTGCAAATATTAGTTCAGATAGTGTTTGTTTCATTTGTTTGTTCCTGTGTCCTAGTGGGAGTTTTCTCATCTTTTCCTTGACTTTTTCTACTGTTTTACCTAGCACTACTGAGAAGAGTAGTGGGTTCAGTATGCATTTTCATAGGTCCAAACTCTATTTTTAATGGACATAAATGATTTTTAGTAAACAACTATTGGCAATATTGTCATTAACATCTTCTCGACTCTTTGTGAAAAACTTTTTGTTCAAGTGGCAAGTTTATTCGAGTGGCTACTGTGCGTATGACTACCGGAATCACAGAATAATAAACAATCAGAATGCCCACTCTGCTTGTCAAGATAAGTATGTGCATCTCGTTCACACAGACGGACTCGTCATGTTTTAAACGGAACCAGTGCTGTTCAGCGAAATTTTATCTGTTGTACATAGAAAAATGAACCCGGTCTAATGTATTTACGGCAACCATAGACATAATATGCACTATTTTATTCATACTTTTTAGTTGAAGAATAGATTAAAATATTTCAAATTTACTAAATCTGTATAAGGCGATCGCGTGCTGATAGACTTTAAATGCGGCATCTACGAGTGGGCATTCTGTATGTTATTTATTCTGTGATATAAGTCAAAACCGACTACTGAAATTAGGAACTTTGTGCCAGAAAAGAAGAAAAATACTTAAATGTGTTTTTAATTTAATACACATATTATGTGTTACTTTATATTTAAAATAAACATAATTTCTATAAAAAACCTTTTTAATATCATATCTGCATGCTTTTTTTAATATTTATTTAATTGGGTCTTGGCTAAAGAAGCTTGGTCAAGCATTGCTCCCATGTGATAGTAAACATTTTTAATTTAAAATATGATTAAAGGCAATACAGTTAGTATATAACACAGACTATAATTTTAACCATTTGTTCTAAAACTATTTTCTAGTACATTTTTATTTTTAAAACATGCATCAACAACATAAGACAAAAATTTTATTGTACAAAAAACATTTATTATAAAATTTATTTTTACACCTTATAAACTAAAATTAAATTCTACAATTAAAAACTTTCTTAACAGCGGATAGACATTGGTTTTTCTTTTTATTTTCTGTTTTCATCGGTTTTTTCTTAAGTACCTCCAAACTGTGTTTTAAATTTATAGATCTTCTGGTGATCTTCTTGGAAACATTAGCTGCGAATACTCTTTTGCCATCTTCCCTGGAAATAATTACTGATTTTGCAGGATTCCGGATAATTTCTTCGGCCTGGCGTCTTTCAATCTCCAAGGCATCCCGGAGATTATTTCTCAACACGGTATCACCAAGACAAATACTTTTGAACCTGGGATCTGATCTTGCAGTTGACAATAAAGACAATGGATCCAATAATCTGAAATATAAAAAAGAATATGTATACTCAGTAAATTTATAATTAAAAATATAAATAAATACCAATATTAAAAAAATAAATATTAAAAGAAATTAAAAACACTTACCTTAAAATATAAAACCACATCTCCACTGGAAGCGCCGTCAATTGGAAGCAGGATGCAGCGATCACTGGCAATAAACGAAACATTTCGAATACTACGTAATAATAACACTTAATCACTTCAAAGCACAAACTGAACTGACTACAGCGCGCAGATTCTGCTGTTATATACGCTAGTTTACGCGGCAAATCACTTACCAAAAGCGCGCGCAGAATATAACACCACGTCAGTTATACAGCTGACAACAAAAGTGCGCGCACTGTAACGCCAAATTAACTCCATTATGCGCCAATATATTACAGTGCGGATAATAAGACAATACGTCACACGTCACAAATGTAACAATAAAGTATAAGAGCAGCACAATATATTACTCGAGTTGTATTTTTTGGAACTGCTCACATTATTCGTTTCTCTAGTTGTTCCTTGGATAATTAATCGAGGGAGCGCACAGTGAGGCACGAAATCACAAATCGAGGTATAGTAATTTTTTTGGGTTGTGTGTAAAGTGAAACATTCAGCTACTTGGTGCATTGTGTATTATTTATTTAAACAAGTAAGTCTTTTATCCGTTAATGACAGTGGGTTTGCCTGTTTTACTTATTGTTTCCTTAAAATATCAAAGTATATTTTCAACCAATGGCATTGAACTAAGTTTTTCTTATCACGTGTTTATGTTGCAAGATTTTTCATCTGTCGTGTAATTAATTTGATACTGGCACCTTTCGTTCGTGCCTTTTCTTTATAGCTTTTCATAGGTCCAAACTCTATTTTCACTGGGCATTAATGATTTTTAGCAAAAAAATATTAGCAAGCATTGTCATTAACATCTCGACTCTTTGTGAAGAGCTTGTAGTACTTTTTATTTAAATTAGTAGCACCAATCAACATTTTAAGTGTGTCAGAATTATTGAACAATTCAAAAGTTCTAAGCGATCCAAGACATTTTTATCCAAAAATAAGCAATTTCGGAACAGACTTCGCTGTCATAATTCATAATTTACCAATTAAAGATTATTTTTTGAATTTAATAAAAACAGAACAAGAAAATGAATATATTTGTAAAAAACTAAAAGAATATTCTTTGTCTTCTTGGCCTGAAAGATCTAAATTGCCATTTGAATTGTTGCCATACTATCAATATAGATATGAAATTTCCTATTCGGAACAATTACTTTTAAAAGGGTCTCGCATAATCATTCCTAAGAGTCTTCAACTCAAGGTGTTGGAATTTATTCATACAGGCCATATGGGAATTGTAAAATGTCGAGATCGTGCCAAACAGAGCGTTTGGTGGCTGGGTTTGTCATCCCAGATTAATAACCTTGTCACACGTCCCCAATGTGTTGAACACAGAGTAAATCATAGAGAAACATTTCATAAAGACAATACTGTACAAAGGCCGTGGCAAAAACTGGGGGTTGATTTGTTTAAATGTTATGATAAGTGGTATTTGATTGCCACTGACTACTTTTCACATTGGTTTGAAATTTTTACTTTAACCAATATGACAGAAGATGCCATTATTCCTAAGCTTAAAGATATTTTCTCTCGTTATGGTATCCCAGAGGAAGTTAGATCCGACTGTGGTACTCAATTTTCATCAAAATTTATTAAACTTTTCAAAAGAACCAAACACTAAAAATAAAAAGAATGAAATAAAGGATAAACAAGTGAAAAACTACAATAAGCGACACAATGCCAAGGATTTAGATCCTCTTAAGGTTGGTGATTCTGTGTGGGTGGTTGATATCAGGAAATATGGGCGAGTTGTTGCGATCTGTCAGGAACCCAGGTCCTATATAATTGAAACTGAAACCGGGAAATTTAGAAGAAATAGATGGCATTTGATTCATGCACCCTACTGTTTCCCTGTATTGAGCACCCAACCAGAATCCTCAAATGATTATGTTCCGCCAATTTCTAGTAGCACAAAGCTAATGCCTTGCTCTAATCAAAGCAATGGTGACATACAGGGTAAAATAATGGAGGAAAGTAGTAGGGGGGAACCCAGTGTATTTCAGGACAAAATCGAACAAAGTGGAAATCATGTTTTACCTCCATCGGGTCAGGATAAAAGCGATAGTGTATCGGACTTTGAGTGCGTAAAGCCTAGCAGGCCAAAAAGACTTGTGAAGAAACCGGTTCATTTAACAGATTATGTTTGTAGTAGTTTAAGTTAGTTTAGGTATAAGATCATTAATGACACAGGGATCTTTTATAAAAAAAAAGGAGATGTGTTGTTAGCTTAGATTAAGATATAGGCGCCGGAGTTAGGCAACACAGATGACAGGGATGGCATGTGAACGTAGCCGAAGCTCGGGCAAGCATGTATGTTTGAGGGTTGAGAATAAACTGATGTTGTGAAGTAACGATTATTATTTGAATTTAATAAAAACAGAACAAGAAAATGAATATATTTGTAAAAAACTAAAAGAATATTCTTTGTCTTCTTTTAAAAGTAATTGTTCCGAATAGGAAATTTCATATCTATATTGATAGTATGGCAACAATTCAAATGGCAATTTAGATCTTTCAGGCCAAGAAGACAAAGAATATTCTTTTAGTTTTTTACAAATATATTCATTTTCTTGTTCTGTTTTTATTAAATTCAAAAAATAATCTTTAATTGGTAAATTATGAATAATTGACTGCACATATGCTGCAGTTTCAGCAGTTAGTTCTTTATTAGCTAACGTATCTGTTTGTAAAGGGGCCCGACTTAAAGTATCTGCTACAATTAAATTTTTTCCCGGCGTGTAGATTACAGTATACTTGTATCGCATTAAATGTCGTGTTATCAAAGAGGGGTTACAAATAATAATCGTTACTTCACAACATCAGTTTATTCTCAACCCTCAAACATACATGCTTGCCCGAGCTTCGGCTACGTTCCCATGACATCCCTGTCATCTGTGTTGCCTAACTCCGGCGCCTATATCTTAATCTAAGCTAACAACACATCTCCTTTTTTTTTATAAAAGATCCCTGTGTCATTAATGATCTTATACCTAAACTAACTTAAACTACTACAAACATAATCTGTTAAATGAACCGGTTTCTTCACAAGTCTTTTTGGCCTGCTAGGCTTTACGCACTCAAAGTCCGATACACTATCGCTTTTATCCTGACCCGATGGAGGTAAAACATGATTTCCACTTTGTTCGATTTT